CCACTCAGGAATGTGGCCAGGCTCTTGTTTAATGGTGGTCTGACGATCCTCCCCTTGGTGGTCATCTTCAGGGCACTGACAGCAATTCTGCTCACTATGCCATCGTGGCAGATTAAGGAGGTGAAAGGAATAGGTGACTACTGAGGTATCACAGAGGTCTCTCATGCAAGGTACTTTGGCATCCCTCTGCCAGTAGTGGATGTGCAGGATCTCTTTGCTGGCCTATTGTTATAATACACAGTTTTGATTTTATAGTACATCTTTTCGTTATCTTTTAAAACTAACTTATTGTCAAGGCTAAGTGTGAATTCACAGTATTTAACCATACAGGCAAGCCTCTTCCACAGAAGGGGGGGGATCTAAAATTTCTGAGCACATAACCAGACAAGTGTAAGTCTTACAACTGGCAAAGTCCCCTCTCCTAAGATCTGGCAAGACCTAGGCAAGGCAGGTAAAGCTGAGGCACCATAGATGAGGGAGGTGACCTTCAGAGCATCTCAGTCTGTTCTCAGTGGTCAAACAGCAGAAGGAAGAAAGGGGCTTGGGGATGAAGAGTACCGTTGAAGGTGTAAGAACGCTTTGGAAGTGCCTCTCAAAGGCACATCTGACCACATCCAGAGTCAGGGTGCATCACACATCTAAATTTGACTTCATTATCACTTTTCCTCTTTAAAAGCCCAGTGACAAAGCAAAAAAAAGATCCTATTTATTGCCATTTTCTTTAAACCACACACGGCATTTTTGTTTCAGAAATATGTGTATACTTAGTTGATATTATTTTATCAGAATTAAAGTTAAATAAAAGTTCAACAATTACAAAATATGCAGAAGACAAATAAAAAACAGCTACAGATGACAACCTTGTCCCAAAACTTTTGTTAGAACCAGATCAGCAATTCAGTAGTTTCTGCCATAAAACTTCATGCTGACAGGCCAAAGAGGTAAGGTAGCATTTGTACTTGGAATTGGGTTAGGCCACTGTGTGATGTGGCTTCAAGGGAAAAAATCTAGGCTAAATTTCTTTGCTAAGATTATTCTTCTCAAGAAATCACATCTAAACTAGAAAGGAGGTAGGGGGGAGATGAATTGTTGGTTTCTGAACTGAAGAAAGGCTCAAAACTGTAATGGCAGCTGTATATCTAGGGATTAGTATTTTATATGTATATAAATCAGCCTTCATAATTCAAAAGGGTTTCAGTGTTAGGGTTCAGATTTTGAGCCATTTTTCAGTTATAATAAAATGTACATCTACGAAGGGGAAAGAAACCCTGCTGAAACCAAGCTAACTCCCTGTCAACACTTGTTCTTAAAATACAGTTGTTAACCAAAGTATGGACAGGGACTTGAAGTTCTACCTTCAGTACATTAAACAAGGTTAGGACAAATAACAATATCTCGGGATAGGAGACATCAATCGGTGGACATCTAAATGCATTATCAAAGCTTGGTGATTCAGTATGCCTCAGGTACAATATAAATGATTAGGGAACATTTCCCTAAGGAAAGATGTGAGGCAGTATGGATAAGGTAAAAAGTCAGGAGAGCCTGTAGACATGTGGGGACATTGAAGCAGACTTGATTAATTTAGTCTACTGGATTGTGCTAATTATTGTGCTCCAGCAGACTCTGTGTTTCATGTATTCAGTGTCTCCATGTTTCAGAATGGCAGTGGGGGCACCTTACCCAGAGCTCGGTAGTTAAAGCCCCCTTGCTGCCATTTTGAAGCACGGAATGCTGAATACACAAGATGCTGTGGGTGCTTTAATCCATAGTTTCTCAACCCGTGGTATGCATACCCCTGGGGGTACATGAGAGACAGGCAGGGGGTATGTAGGCGCCAAAAACCCCCATAGCAAGGGGGCACCACCGCTCTCCTCGCTGGGTTTGCGCCCAGCCACTTGTCCCACCCCCCAACCAAAGCCTGCCACAGGCTGCTGCAAGAGGGGAAGGTGAGCCCACAGTCACCCACGCACTCTCCACCAACCCAGCTACAGGCAGGTAAGTTTCTTTCTTTATCCCACCTGGAGCTTGGGGGGAGGGAGGGAGGGTGCAGACCGAGACCTATACAGTGCAGGACAGAGTGTGGTAGGGGCAGGGTACTGTCCTGCTCCCTCCTGCACTGTGGGGATTACCCCATGTCCCGGCCTGCCCGGGGCCCAGTTCACTGCGCGCGGGAGAGAGCAGGCTGCCACTGCAGGCTGGGGCTAGTGGTGGCACCGAGCTCTTCCCAGCACTCGGGGCGGTTGCAGTGATGGGAGGAGGGCTGCTGTCATCCCAAAATTCACCGTAGCCCTCCCCAACCTGCCCCCCCAACACAGCCGCCAAACACCGGAAAAAGCCCAGTGCGGCTGCCGGCCCTTGCCTGTAGCCAGCCTGAGCTCTGGGCAGCTGCAGCAGGCAGGCTGCAAACAGCTGCATTGGCTCCGCAGCCCCAGCATCTGCTCCATACTGGCAACTGCACGCGCGCCTCAAAGCACAGAGCAGGGGAGGGTTGCACCACCTCAAACCCTATCCCCGCTCTCTGCTCTGAGGCACACATGCCATCGCCAGTATGGAGCAGATGCTGGGGCTGCAGAGCCCGGCGCAGCTGTTGCATCCTGCCTGCTGCAGCTGCCCAGAGCCCAGGCTGGCTACAGGCAAGGGCTGGCAGCAGCACCGGGCTTTTCCAGGCTGCACTGCCTCAGGGCCCCCCTCCACTGTCTGCTCTGGGGCATGATGCCAGAGCCTGGAGCAGCTCTTTGCAGCCTCCTGGCTGCAGCCATCCCAGGCTCTGGGTAGCTGCTGCCAGCCACAGAGCCTGGGCTGCTTGCGGCGGAGCTTGCAGCCTCCCAGCCACCTGCTGGGAACAGCCTGGGCTCCATGGCGGACAACAGCTGCCTCCTTGTCTGTGTCTCTCTCTTTTCCTCTTTCTCTCTCACCCTCTTTTCCTCTCTCTGTTGCCCCTTCCTCCTTTCAACACTATGGCAAAAAATTTGGCATGCTATGCATTGCGCAGCACTTTAAATTCCTCAGCAATAATTTGGCATGCTGTGCTTTGCATGGCACTGGGTTCAGCCCTCCTAGCTTTGGCCAACATCACCTCCAGCCCAGGTACATACTTGAGTTGTACACCCCTGGAGTAAAAGGTGGCAACCCTACCCACACCAGATCAGACATCTGTCATCTCATAGCCTTATATACACAGCCCTTCTTTCAACATATGGCACACATTAGTTTGCAAACATAAAATCCCCTGGAAAATGGAGTGTTGGGGTTGTTATTAAAATTTTCAGAAGTTAGGGGGTATTTGCTACTTAAAAAGTTATAAAATTATGCTTTAATTAAAGTGTCCCTGCCCTGGGAGCACATGTAAAGACACACCAGGAGACTAGTAACTGTGAAAATTGAAGAACCCATATCATTTTCTGGATATTAAATCTCAGTTTCCTGATTAAATTTTAGTTCAGACACATTAAGCCAGGACTCACTGAAGGAGCAATCAGAAAGACAAGATGTAACAGAGAGAGAACAGAATCATGGAAACCAAGGGACAATGAGATCTTTAGAAGACAAGCATGGTTGTCTGTTTAAGGCAACTGTCTTGGTTGATGAAAAGAAAGATGGATCAGTTCTGAGCTATGGATAAGAAGAGGTAAGAGTGTTTTGCAGTTTAGTTTAAGGTAGCAGTCAGATCGGAGAGGGTCTGGGATGGAACTGAAAGAGAACTCCAGGCAACATATTGTAAACACCACATTCACTGCACTCATCAAGAAAAGGGTGGTAAAGGCAGCAGTGGAAGAGGCAAGGTTTTTCAAAAGGAGGACAAGATTAAGACATGCTTGTTCTATGATCAGGACAAGCCAGAGGAGAGCAAGTGTAGATGAGGAGGATGAGAATAAGTACAAGGGAAATCAGGACACTGGCATGAAACAGAGCTTCTGGGACAAAAAAAATAGAGATGAAAAACTTCAGAAAAATGCTGTAAGATGAGAATGGGAAAGGGAACATTGTATTTTGTCAATTCTCTCTCAAAACCAGCATGATCTGATGCAGAGGGAGAACTTGATAAAGGAGGAGGGCAGGATTTGAGAAGAAAGGAGGGAAGAATCAGCACAGTGAAAAGCAGCTGAGACTTCAGGCACAGGACTCAATTATGATGAACTAGAGCTGTTTAGAAAGAAATATAGCAAACATGCAGCTGAATGCGTCAGATGAGTCATCAACGTGGAATCCAATGTCACTAAGGAAGGATAAGTGTGGGAGATTGTAAGAGGAGTGCAAGCAAGTTAGAAATCCAAGGCAAGAAGAATGACTGATGGAGCAGGGCTGTGTGGACAGTAGACCAAGGCAGAAAAGATGGGGAGAGAGGAGTTGGATGCAACACTGTTTAGAAGAGGAGAAAATAGGGGGAGAAAGCAGGAAGAGAAGACCAATGCAGTAGCGTAACTAGGGCAGGGCAACATGCCACCAGGGTGCAAAGGGGAAAAGGAATGGGAAAAAACAGCTTCTGCAGCAGCTGAACAATCATAGCACCAGCAGCAACTGGAAGACCGGAAATCACTGCTGCACTTATGGGTGAAAGCTACTCCAGGCAAACTGCTGCATTTGCTGGATCAAATTTTACCTGGGTCTGATCCAAGGCAGGCAGTGGAGGAGAGAGCCATACCATATTATATCACATTGACTGAAATGCCTTTGACAGTTTGATTAAAGAGTCTTCAAGACTAATACAAGACTGAAAATTATTGCATGGTGTTCCTGTGTGCAATAGAAAGCTAGCACATTCCACTGCAGAAGAAAGTGAAATCCTGAGGTGAAACAATTTAATTCTTACAAGTGTCTTGTTAAGGAGAGAAGTGCTCTGAGTGCAATTACTGTTAGAAGATAGCATCCTCATCTGCACTGCTATCTGCACTGCAACCTAAGTAATAGCAATTAAGGCACAGCAGAGGCACTGTGATTTACTTGTCATTTTGCCAGGACCATAAACAGTTACGCAATAAATGCCTATTAATTATTACTTGTTCTCGTGCTTTCTCCAGCTGCCGAACAAGGTCTTCACGCTCATGGGCTGCGAAATGGCGAGCTCCAACTTCTTCATCTCCAAGCCTCTGTTTTGCTATCGTCATTCTAAGGAGCTGCAAGAAAAGAGATGAACTGCGTAAGCAATGACACAGAACAAGAGCTTTAACAATATTAGCAGGCTATCCTGCATCATTAGAAGAACAATTCATAGTTAAAGAATCTGTCCACTTTCCCCACATCTCAAAATGAAGCATTTCACAGGAAATATTTACTATCAATAGGCGCAATCCCGTTCTCACAGAAGAAGCCAATGGCCAAATACTCATAAGCTCTGGTGATGGTTAGACTGGTCCTTAAAGCAGCAATTACAGGTTTTTTTATGCACGGGCAGATGCTTCAGTAAAGTATACAAATATGGGCTACATTATCCAGAAATGACTATTCTGAATGTTAAGCCTGTCACCAGAACTGACTCTTGAAAGAGAATTTTCAAACATACATCTCAAAGTTGCTTCCAGATGAAAATAAGTATCATTAAGATAATTTTAGATGAGGAAAATACAAGAGATAACAGTGATTGGAACATGGGGTTTGGTTTTGGAGTTGTATGTGTAATGCAGGGAGGTATATGCTAGCACAGAATTAACATTATACACTGTTTTTAGGTTTGTTCCTACATGAAAACAATTAGTATTCTGGACCACTCAACAGTGATAGGTTAAAAAAAGAAATGAGAAACCTTGAGGAAACAGGTCAAATTTTGGGGGGTAGAACCCTTTGTTAAGATCTTCACCAGGTTTAATGGCTAATGAAATAAGTTTGACTTGAATTAGTAATCATTCCTTCTTATTACTACTGTTGAATAGCAGCTACCATCAGTATTGGGTATTAAGAATTAAAACAGTGCAAGATAAGCAGCAGGCAGAGTGCATAGCTTAAATGAACACAACATTTACAATTGTTTGTACTTTGCACAGCTAGAAAAAGAATGCTACATCCCAGTGGCCCAATTTGTGAGATCTCCACAGAGGCCTAAGAAATCTGCAATAAGAACTCTCATGCCTTTCCCCACATTTTTCAGCTGCACAAAGGAATTAATGTGCATCATTATATTTCAGAGTTAGAAAAATCAATCTTCTGAAATAGAAAACTGTACATTAAATCTATCTTCTGTATTTATAGGATGCCAGTCACTGTAGTGCTGACGTGCCGATTACAGTTCCAGTGGTACAAGACAAGCTACCTTTTCTCCTATACTTGAGCCCCAGTTTGGCACACAATGGTGAGGGTGCTTACTACAGCCTGACTTAACAAGCTCCAAAAAGCAACTTGCAACTCCCTGGTGACGCTGTGGCCCACAGTTAGCTTTACTTTAGCAAGCTACTATTGCCCCTTTCCCCCTTCCTGCCAGGGAAAAGAGGGTAGAATGTAATGTAGGGCCAGGCAGATGGGGGCCACATGAGGAACAGGCTGCAGACCAAGGGCTGCTCACAATGTGGGCAGTGCTGCTTTCCCTTCTAGGCTCTCCCCTGCTGTGTAAGGCAGCCCAGCTCCCCAATGCCTCCTGGATACACGCACTGTGCAGGCAACCCAACTCCCCACTCCTCTCCTGGCCATGTGTGCAGCACAGGCAGCCCCCTCATTTTGCAGCATAGGTAGCCTCTTCTTCCCGCTGTACGTACAGCACTTCCCTACCCCACTATACATGCTGCACGGGTACCCACACCCCACTCACTCCACCCCCAAAAGCAAGGGAAGGAAGAAGCTGGAGGAGGGAAAGGGAATCCAAAGAACCCAGCTGCCATGGTAGGAACAATGGTGGGAAGGGGCAGTAGTGGCAGCCATGCCATGAGGCCACATACTAACACATGAGCCCAAAAGCCGCATATTAACTCTTCAGGGGCTGTGTGCATCCTGCAGGCCACCAGTTAGAGAGCACTGTTATGATGAGTGGCTCTGAACCTGTCATGGGAAACGAGCTAATTTTTCAATGGTGACATTTTTAAAATGAACATATTCTGGAATGGGGGCTTGACTATGGAATCATTTTATATATATAAAAAGGTGACACTAAGACACAGCACTACAGCATTTCCACTACAGACATCTCGCTTCAAGATTAGTAAGGAAAGCAGCACGTGGAACAAGGGTACTATTTTAAAGTCTCAGTCCTGCAGAGTAGATGAAAACAGAATTAGGAAACTACTCTCCACCAAGCCCCTCAATGCAAGCAGCAATAAATAGATTCCTCCGCAGTATATATGCATGAACCAAGAGAGGAATTTTATTAATGCAGTGGTGGCTCAAGTACCATCTAGATCTCCTTCTGTGTATGAAAGGAGCTGAAAGTGTAATATGCAATCTCAGCCAAAAATAGTACTGCAGGCACCAAAATCTGTTCCACTCAATTCAGAGCTCCTTATTTACCAATGCATATGGAAAGAGTGTCTCCAAAAAAGAATGTCCCCAAACTCCACCTTCAGAGAGTAAAATGGGGGGGGAAAAATACAAAAATGAAAACAAAAATCTACAAAATGGAAGATTCTATTTTACAGATGAGCAACCAACCAGAGGGCTGGTGAAGCTAGTCCTCTAATCTTGCACCTGAGTGCACCCTGCTGTAAAACCATCTGCTATAAAGATTCTTCCTTCTTAATGTTACAACGTTTTAATCTTTATGCCAGCGGGTGGAAGATTTGGTTCTGTATTTTAGTGTTTTATCATAAAGTGTATACACCTATCTTCTGGGTACTGTATTTTTATTCAGCTGTGTCATGCAGAAGAGAACCACTCAGCTTTAGAGAGTAGGCTAAGAATAGGTTAATACATATGAAACTCTCAAGACCCCATAAACATTTACAAAAGAGCAGATTTAAGCAAACTGTCCTTTAATGAGCTGCTGGTTCCCTGTCAGCTAAACATACATTAAAAAGGTTCTTAACAGAGTTCAGAGTGCAGGAACTCCCTAATTAGTAACACTATCCTACACTTGCATCTCTCAAACACCAAGATATCTAATTAATTGTTTAGCTAAAAGAATTATGTATAAATACAGAAATATACAGATACCCCAATCAGACCTTGCCCTAAGATGTTTTACGGAAAGATTCTGACTCCAAACCTCAAAACTAGATTAGAAACTAAACAAATGGAACGGAAAGAAACAAATAAATACAACCAGAAAGTTCTTTGTGATAGACAACAGTTACAGCAAAGTACCATAGCAGGGTTCTGCAGGAATCACAGCAGAGGTAAACCTTAAGAGAGGAGCTAGAACAGGGGCGGACAATTATTTCAGGCAAAGGGCTACTTACCAAGTTTTGGCAAGCCATTGAGGGCTGCATGGGTAGCCCCACCCCCGATCACCATTTTGGGACTGGAAGTCCTGCCCCTTAACCCCTGACCTTTGCCACCAGATGTCTCTCCCCTTGTCCCCTGGAATAACTCCTTTCGGCAAGGGATTTTGCCATATCTGAACCAGAAAAATACTATATTATATTCTAAAAATTAAACATGTACTACAACATTCATCAATTTCATTAAAAAAATATTTTTGCCTGATTTGCATGTGTTTGTGTAGTGTGCATAGAAGTGATAGTATAATAGCTTAACATATAGTTTTACTCTCATATATTGTGGGAGGGTGGGTACAGGTTTGTGGGTATGTGGGGTGTAAGGGAGGGTGTGGGGGATGGTATGTATCTGAGTGTGTGTGCGATTTGTGGGGGGGTGGATAAGTATGGGGGGTGTAGAAGGTGGGTATGGGTTTTGTGGGGGGCTGCGAGCGTGCTGGAGAAGGTTGTGGCTTGCGTGGAGGGGGAGGGTTTTCCTACTGTCTGCTCACCCCACCCCCCATAGCATGCAGAGCCCCCTGCCAGCGCTACTGCAAGCCCGGGTTCTCTGTTCCCGCCACACCTGCCCCCAGGACACCGGTGCGGGCCCCGTGCTTCTGCTTGCTGCCACTTGCCCCCCCCATCTGCCACTGCTGCCCTTCTGCTGCTTCCCCTTCCCCTCTGCCCCCCAGCCACTTTGGCACCATGTTTCAGCTGCTCGTGCGCTCCTGGCACTGCAGCTGGGAACCACGTGTTGCCAGCGGCTGGGTGGGGGGAAGTGGGGAAATGGCTGCGGCAAGCAGCGCAAACAGGCAAAAAGCAGGTATGCAGAGTACAGCAACAGCCGGGCAGGAGCACAAAGGCCATGCCAGTGTACTGGGGCCAGCACCAGTGGGGCCCAGACCAGGGCGGCAGGAGTGCGGGGTCCAGGCTGCACTGCTCAAGCAGAGAGATGAGGGAGCCAGCCCAGCTCCACAGAACCCCCGGCAGCCCGACCCCACGCTCCTCCTGCCCTGCTCTGGGCCCCGTGGGTGCTGGTCCTGGTGCACTGGTGTGGACCCCGCACTCCCACCCAGCTCTCGCTGGGCTCTATGCACCTGCTTGCTGCCCCTTCCCCCTGCCTGCCACTGCTATTTCCCTGCTTCCCCCACCCAGCACCACGTGGTTCCTGGTTGCAGCACTGAAACTGCAGGAGCTAGCCCAGCTGACCCCAAGGATTGGGGCCATCGCCGGTGGTCCTCCCCTGCCTCCCTTGACAGGCAGCCAGAGGCAGAAAAATATTAACTTTCTAATTTTTTTAGGGGCCCTGAGGGCCAGATAGAATGGCTTGACAGGCCAGATGTAGCCCACAGGCCGTATTTTGCCTGCCCCGGCCTAGAACTATCCTAAATTGCTATTTTAAGCCCCAAACTGCAAAGCCTTATGCATGTGATTACCTTTATGCAGTATAACATATTTGTCTGGCAGATACCTGAAACAAATTTATTAATTATCCTTGAAATTTTGGTCATCAGTGGTAAGTTACTAGATTTATTATATCCTACACTGAAAAACACCTCCACCCTTCACCCTCACCTTCGCATACATGCAGATTAATAGTTCCTGCTAAAGACACAATCTGTACAAAAGGACCATTGCCAGGTAGAGTATTGAGCACTATTACATTACTTTCGTAGAACATGCATATGCATTTTGATGGAAGTTCTTTGAATCTTCTTTTGGTTGATTTGAGATGGGAGAGATCAGTGGTATTTTTAGGTTTTATGAGCTTAAACTACTTG